CTTTAAGCCTTGGTTTTTGTATTGTATTTTGACAATGTAATTTTAGGATACTTTGTTTTGATTATGTTGTTAATAAAAATAACATTTTTTTAGTTAAAATAATATGGTCAAATAAACTTTTTCTTACAACTATTTGAGCGCAGAGTGCCCAAGCGTCAATATGTTGCGAGTCTGACATGAGAATGTGTTATCAAAGTATGTGTTCTCTGGTCAGTTTTTTCAGTCTGTTGCTTTGCTGGGATCAAGAGACGCCATGAGGGTCTCTCCAGCTTCTTGCCTTTCTGTGCTGGAAAAACAGCCAGTTTCCAGCTTATTCTTTTGTTGCAGCAATTTTTCCTTCTTGAAACTTACATGGACCACCATGTAATTGGAGTTATAATTTCCATCTTGGGCCACTCTGAACTGCTGAGTCACCCTGAGCTCGAGCCAACCCTCTGGAACTACMCTGCTGGGAGATTTATTTTTTATTTTTTAAAGCTGCCGCTGTCCTGAGCCATCCTGAAGAGAGCTACTGTACCTCTCGCTTGTCACGCTGCTGACTGCACCGAGCCCACAAAGGCCTCCAGTTGACCGACAAAGAAGGCCTGGTGCCGGCTGTCCCATCTAGACTGACACCCCTGAGCTGGCATCAATATGGTCAAATAAACTTTTTCTTTCAACTATTTGTGTGTTTAAATGTGTTATAGAGTACAAGTAAATCGGGGCTACTCTAAAAAGAAAAAAACTGTTAATCTGGTAAGTACTCAGCATTGTTTACATAATTTGAATAGCCCCATCCCTTTAAGTACACTGTTTCAAGATGGCATCGCGCTTAGCATATCTTGGCCCCAACCTCTTGACAGGGGTAGACTCTCTAGTGTATATACCTCATTGCAGCTAGGTATTATTCCAAAAACACATGACCGTGTGATCGGCTGGTGAAGCCATTGATATATATTAATGGATTGGGCGTCACATGASCTGGGCATGCTTCGCAAGGGGATTTTTATGCATTGAGCTAATGCTAACCCTAAACATTGAAATCAACGAGCAGAACGTAGCGCGGTGCAAACAAACATTTTATAAATGTACAAATGGTACAAATACTTTGCTATAAACTACATAGATTGTTACAACACATTTACAAGAGCAAAAAGTGTTATGTTTCACAGGTAAATATTAAGCATATTTAACCAAAATTAATTATTTTAATCGTAAAACCTATATGCTAACATTAAAAAGCTTCAACATTCATGTTTAACGTTATTTAAAATCAATTTTATCAGTTGTCAAATATATTATTTACTGACATTAAACATGTAAAATGTGGACTGTATTGGATTGTTGACTAGTTAGACTGCATAATAATAATTCAGAAATTATCATGCAGACTCACTAATGACAGACAGTAAAAATGTAATGGTTGAGCATCATAAACATAAATAGTTATGTTGTCAGACAGGTCGGTTTAATCAGATATTATCTACATCCAGTATTTGTGTGCATATGAGAGAGAGAGAGAGAGAGAGAGA